AAGAAACTGAAGTCTTCCGGCATTTTTCTGCTAAGGACGTGCCGTACGTTGAAAGTTACCATTGTGTCTTCCTTATCACTGGCACAGTTATCTAGCTTCAATATCACACTGCCACATGACGTCCAAGCTGTGGAGAAACAACAACGTTCAAAGAAGACAACTATAGCAGTTATTTATTGACACAAACCTGTCACAGAAGCAGAATGGCAACATATACACTCCTTAAAAGTCCCCAATAAACTGACACCCATACGAAGACAACTCTCGTCTGACTAAACAGACACTTAAACTAAGATGACTCTCGTCTCACTAAACAGACACTTACACTAAGATGACTCTCGTCTCACTAAACAGACACTTACACTAAGATGACTCTCTTCTCACTAAACAGACACTTACACTAAGACGACTCTCGTCTCACTAAACAGACACTTACACTAAGACGACTCTTGTCTCACTAAACTTACACTTACAATAAGACGACTCTCGTCTCACTAAACAGACACTTACACTAAGACGACTCTCATCTCACTAAACAGACACTTAAAATAAGACGACTCTCGTCTCACTTAACTGACACACTAAGACGACTCTCGTCTCACTAAACAGACACTTAAAATAAGATGACTCTCGACTCACTAAACAGACATTTATAATAAGATGACTCTCGTCTCACTAAACTTACACTTAAAATAAGATGACTCTCCTCTCACTAAACTGACACTTAAACTAAGACGACTCTCGTCTCACTAAACTGACACTTACAATAAGATGACTCTCATCTCACTAAACTGACACTTGAACTAAGATGACTCTCATCTCACTAAACTGACATTTAAACTAAGATGACTCTCGTCTCACTTAACAGACACTTAAAATAAGATGACTCTCGTCTCACTAAACAGACACTTACACTAAGACGACTCTTGTCTCACTAAACATAAACTTACACTAAGACGACTCTTGTTTCACTAAACTGACACTTACACTAAGATGACTCTCGTCTCACTAAACAGACACTTAAAATAAGATGACTCTCGTCTCACTAAACAGACACTTAAACTAAGACGACTCTCGTCTCACTAAACAGACACTTACACTAAGACGACTCTCGTCTCACTAAACAGACACTTAAAACAAGATGACTCTTGTCTCACTAAATAGACACTTACACTAAGACGAATCTCGTCTCACTAAACTGACACTTAAACTAAGACGACTCTCGTCTCCCTAAACAGACACTTAAAACAAGATGACTCTCGTCTCACTAAACAGACACTTAAACTAAGACGACTCTCGTCTCACTAAACAGACACTTACACTAAGACGACTCTCGTCTCACTAAACAGACACTTAAAACAAGATGACTCTCGTCTCAGTAAACAGACACTTACACTAAGACGAATCTCGTCTCACTAAACTGACACTTAAAATAAGACGACTCTCGTCTCACTAAACTGACACTTACAATAAGATGACTCTCATCTCACTAAACTGACACTTGAACTAAGATGACTCTCATCTAACTAAACTGACACTTAAAATAAGATGACTCTAGTCTCACTAAACAGACACTTACACTAAGACGACTCTTGTCTCACTAAACAGACACTTACACTAATACGATTCTTGTTTCACTAAACTGACACTTACACTAAGATGACTCTCGTCCCACTAAACAGACACTTAAAATAAGATGACTCTCGTCTCACTAAACAGACACTTACACTAAGACGACTCTCGTCTCACTAAACAGACACTTAAAACAAGATAACTCTCGTCTCAGTAAACAGACACTTACACTAAGACGAATCTCGTCTCACTAAACTGACACTTCAAATAAGACGACTCTCGTCTCACTAAACTGACACTTACAATAAGATGACTCTCATCTCACTAAACTGACACTTGAACTAAGATGACTCTCATCTAACTAAACTGACACTTAAAATAAGATGACTCTCGTCTCACTAAACAGACACTTACACTAAGACGACTCTTGTCTCACTAAACAGACACTTACACTAAGACGATTCTTGTTTCACTAAACTGACACACTAAGATGACTCTCGTCCCACTAAACAGACACTTAAAATAAGATGACTCTCGTCTCACTAAACAGACACTTACACTAGGACGACTCTCGTCTCACTAAACAGACATATAAACTAAGACGACTCTCGTCTCACTAAACTGGCACTTGAACTAAGATGACTCTCATCTCACTAAACTGACATTTAAACTAAGATGACTCTTGTCTCACTTAACAAACACTTAAAATAAGATGACTCTCGTCTCACTAAACAGACACTTACACTAAGACGACTCTTGTCTCACTAAACATAAACTTACACTAAGACGACTCTTGTTTCACTAAACTGACACTTACACTAAGATGACTCTCGTCTCACTAAACAGACATTTAAAATAAGATGACTCTCGTTTCACTAAACAGACACTTAAACTAAGACGACTCTCGTCTCACTAAACTGGCACTTAAAATAAGATGACCCTTGTATCACTGAACTGACACTTCAACTAAGATGACTCTCATCTCACTAAACAGACACTTAAAATAAGATGACTCTCGTCTCACTAAACTGACACTTAGCCTAAGATGACTCTCATCTCAGTGAATAACCAACACTTGCACCTGTCCCACTGCCACACTAACTTATTGTATGGACAAAAAAATGAACTCCACGAACTAACCCAAACAGCTTACCTTGGATCTGACGACCAATCACAGCTCGCTGTCACAAAGCCTCTAAATAACTCTTAATCAACAGCGAAGATTCACAAACTAGCAGGCCAACAAATCCAGTTTATAGTATTCCTCCCCAGCCCCTCCCCCCCCTCTTTTTCATTTACATTACATACAACAGTAATGCCACCCACAAAAATCGTAAAATCCCTATCAGAAAATATAAACATCTTTTTCAATATATATATATATATATATATTTACATTCTAAATATTAAATTCTTTTTTTAAAGTTATCATTGATCTTCCCTTTACAAGTAAGAGAAATTACTGGTCATTAGAGAACTGTGGTCAATTTAAATTAATCACAATTCTCTAAAACACCTGGGCAACCAGTGTCAACCACACAAATAAAATCATTGACTTGACAACGAACCTCGTAGCTACCACTAGGGTCATCTCCAATGACCCCTACCCTTTTTATCCAACGTTACATTCTTGACCACCAAAAACCAATCTTCTTTCACCACGTTCTGGTTCTGGGTCTGGTAATGTTTCGTTGCTGCATCCTTGTACTGGCATCTCTGCAAAGGTTTGGGGTATGATGATGCTATTCTAACAGCTCCTAGCTGATGCCAGGGCAGCCTTGAAGCTTTCGACCGATGTCGAGTTCACAGTGGCATCGTTCATGTGGTTCCATGCTATTATTGTGCTTGGGCAGAAAGATTGTTGATACTGCACTCTGTTGCACTATATCTGTGTTCCAATCTCTGCGTGGATCCTTCATTGTGCTACCGTCCTCTCAAATTGGTTCCCATCTCTCTAGCATTGCCTGCGCCAGCTACTGTGCCCGCTGTTATCTTCCTCTTCTAAATCACTAAATCAGCTATCGCACTATTCCTTTTCTTCCTGAATATATTTTCACATTCTTCCTTTTCTTCTTTAGTCTCTTTTCCATTCTTCACTTGCTCCCATAATCTATTTTGGCATTTTACTTTTTCCTCCCCGGGCCCATATTCTATTAAACGAGCAAGGGCTTCTTCCTTACCATCCCTCGACTCCGCTCCTCCCGTGAACTCTAATTTTAACTCTTATTCGCGCAAATATCTATATTTGTAAATATGAAAAAAAGATGTCTCAAGGAATTTTGTTTTATCCCCCAATTCAACCCCCCCTCCCCCCAGGTAATTTAGGCATAAATTGTCCATACAGTTATAATAAATTCAATTTGAAAGAAACAAAAATTCTGACCTCGATATATCTGTATGTTTTACTTTACACACATTTCACAATTCATGGGGGAAGTTGGACATCTAAATATAAATCAATGTGCTTTACTAAAATAACCGCATCACGTGTCTATTGGTTGACCTCCACGAACCCCACAAAAGAAATGTTACTGGCAACTCAAGATTATGGAATGTCAACACTTGACTCGACTGCGGGCTCCATCGGGCGTAACGAGGACATCTGACTAGGTGCAGACATGGCCAAACAACGAACGCAGGCGACTGACTAATGTGCGGGGAACGGACAGCGGGGGACAGCAAACTGGCGAATCGGACGACGGGGTGGCAGGGCAGGCATCAAGCCCCGGGGGCGACGGTACTGGTCACAGTGGTCAGGAATCATCATTGAACATCTCTTGGAAAGTTCACAGCTAAACAACGCAAGGTATTCCCCTCGTTAGATGCTGTATCACTCATCATATCACCCAATGTACATTTTATCACTCATCGTATCACACACACACTGTACATTTTATCACTCATCATATCACAAACTGCACATCTTATCACTCATCATATCACACACTGCACATCTTATCACTCATCATATCACACACTGTACATCTTATCACTCATCATATCACACACTGCACATCGACTCATCATATCACAAACTGTTAATTTTATCATTTATAATATCAACCACTGTACTTTTTTTCACACATCATATCATCCCTTTGACATGTTTCGTTCCAAGACGTTTGCACGTTGGCTGTCAAAACAGTCATGATGTTCTAAATTGATGTTTCCCCACATGTAACAATTTACCAGCGATAAGCTAACAAAGAACCCATATCATTTTTTTCATCATAGATTACCACGAGTTTAGTTGATCACAGCGTTAAAATGAAGTCGTTGAAAATGTGTTTATTCTCACATAATACGCCTTATTTCTTTTCACTTTAATCTGTTTGTACTCCAGCACCAACGCATTCAATGGGAACCATGCTAGGTTCAAGTTAACGGGGACGGCCTAAACATAAAGCCATGCGTATAAAGGTTGAGCCACATCGTCCTGCGAAGGGGACGCAAAACGTGTCACACGATATACATTTTGTGTACATAGCCTGCGGTACGATCTAAGGGTCTTTTCCTGATCGTCCGCTCTGATGCGCAACTTCCTTCTGGATACCACGCGTGTAAATGGACCATATCACTTCCTCTCTGATAAGTGTTTACCACTGAAAGTAATGGGTTCAGATTGAGGAAAACATGATTTGTAATCGGCACCAGACGGAGCTGAACTAAACATAGTCACCTTTTGTTAAAATTCACTATTTATTTCATATTTGAATGAATATTCTAAAAGTGTTGAACGCAAAATCGTAAGTTGAACATACTTTCTCATAGTATTTTATTCTTTGTATTAGAACATCGACTACCTCTACCATTTAAACCTGAGCTGGGTAAGTAATGTCTGCAATGGACATAGTCAACACTTTTATAGCGACCATTAAAGTTTTAATTAAATAAATATAATCGTACACGTGATAAATTTCACTCACTTGCTCACCCAGTAGCGGATGTGAAATCGGCAAGAATTATTCCATCATACCGCTACAATGTTTTAAACGGGGCTCAATTTTATTTTATTTTTGATTACTGTTTATTAACTTGTTGTTTTTTGTGTGTTTTTTTTTTTTACTGTTTATCCGAGCCTATCGATAATGCTGGTGTACAGTGGTCATAAAAAGGGTCTGACCCTGGGCAGCGTTCATAAAATATCAAGTTATTCTCACTATTTTCTTCATCGAACCACCAGCATCGTCTGGTAACTAAGAGTTGAAATCAGACGAGCCAGAAGAAACTGCCTGGTTAGAAGATTTGGCCTCATTTTTTGTTTTGTTGTTTTTATAAAAGTATGTTTTAGGGTTTATTTAATTTGCTTTTTCATTCATCCTTTACCTAACAGGTCGAAACTTTTTTTTTTTTTCTAAAGAAAACCGGAAATGTACTTAACCAGTGCGATGCTTCTTGTTGTCTACTTAACCACAAGTCACCAACAGGGGCTGGACAATTTTATGACCTCCGTTGAGCCATCAGAAACCGGCACGTCAGACTCGGATACAACTTTAGGGTAAAAATGTAGCACCTATCTTTCCTAATAAAAAAAAAATTAATCTAATATGATTTTGAAATTTATGTTTTATAAGTCTAGCTTTGTTATGATATGATTTAAACATTCAAAATTAAATAAAAATGAATTTTTTAAAAAAGGATTCCTTTTAAAAATTAAAATAATAATTGCAGAGTGGGAAGTTGAAAATTGTTCTACCCCTCCCCTCCCCCCGTTCTTTTCAATTCCCCCCCCCACCCACCCACCCCTTCCCCGCATACTGGGAATAAGAGGAAAAAAAAACAACAAAGCGCGCATTCAACTTTCAGACAGGTTAAAGTTCTTACATTGATATTTCAAATATTTATTTTACTGACTTTGTTTGTCACGAAGCAGGCTTTTCGTCGATATGTTTGGTGTTCTATTCTGTCCGTTGTCAGGTTTCTTATGTCCCCTTTCTATACTTGAACAAATCTCCCCTTTACAATCGCCTTGACCACACACACACATATTTTTTCTTCTAAAAGTCGCTATAAGCTAACAAGCGATTACAAATTCGACAGTATTGGTAAAAGAAAAAATATACATCCAAGTTGTTTAAATGTTGTATTAACAGTTAAATTTGGTGTGCCAATAAAAAAAAAAAGAGTTTTTAGCATTTTGATTAACCAATTTAATGGCGTATGACAGTATCATCGGCATGTTAAAATTAGTTGTGCAGTTTTAGATGCAAGACTTGTCAAAATCAAGTGTAGCATGTAAAATAAATTGATGCAATTGCGTCGGAAAGGAACATGGCGAAGTTTGTACGACTAGTAATGCATTTTTGTTTATTTATTACAACATTTTCGAAAAGCAGAAACACATATTTTGGTCGCCATGGAAGGGAGGTGGAAAAAAAAATCTTGGCCCACTCCAGTAGAAAATGACCCTTGCTTAGCCCCTGAATTTATATGCTTTAATATTTTATTTTTCAATAATATTAAACAATTCGATGCAAAGGTGAAAAGTTCTAAAGCACTACATGTTCACATCACTTGTTTGCAGTGTTTCACCAACGGAGCTACTCACACCCGATTACAGCACTTTCGATAACCCTGTAACACCGTCATCGATGTTTGCGTATACAGATACAGATAACACCGCGACGAACGATTACAGCCATGGCGATACCACGGCTATTACGTCATCGAGTGATACCTTTACAGAAACCACAAGTACAGACCTTTTTACAACAGCAGACAGTGACAGTGACAGTACAGCTTTTTTGGTTGAGACAACCTCCGCCCTGATCGACACAACCACTGCCCCGATGGACACAACCTCCGCCCCGATCGACACAACCACTGCCCCGATGGACACAACCACCGCCCCGAGCGACACAACCATCGCCCCGATCGACACACACTTTACGCCTGCTAAAACACAAAGTCCCGCAAAGCCTATATTTACTACTATCGTTCCCCACGTCAATACTACATCTACAACAGAACTGTTTAACACCACTAATATCACAACTGCGGGTGTTAGAAGTGAAGATGACAGCAATGCACACGTCATTGTCGGAGCTGTGGTCGGCGGCGTAGCCGGAGCAGGTGCGGCCATGGCGATTGCGATACTGGCGTTGCGATACCGTCGACGCCGCGACCTCAACTCAAACGATGAGTTCACTCCTGGCCTTAAAGATGGCCCCGCACCATCTTCTCAAAGACGGCCAAACACGTACATCCTTTCGATGTCGTCCAACGTGAGAAGTGAGACAGCGGCGTCGGCAGTGTACGCGAACGCGGCGGAGGCAAACGAGCTTAACACGCTCAGAGTGACCGATGCGAATGTCGAGGCGTGTCCAGACAACGACGCGATTTACAATAACACTAAACCCGCGTCTTCTAACGAGAACGATGATGTGTACAACAACACGCCTGGGCCTTCAGAGAAGAGAAGTTATGATTCATCAAAATATGCTGGAGGGCCAGCGAGGTTAGATAATGATGAAATGTACAATAATACCGGCCGGGTCCTTGGCACGAAAGAAAACGATGTATTGAATTACGCTGGTGGGAGTTTGAATTCAGAAAACTGTGATATTTACAGTGGTGTGGCTTTCGAGGTGGACGATGACGGGGTATATGAAAGGACTGACGGTCCTTTAGGCGAAGGAAGTGGTGTGTTAATAACACTCGATTCTCGAGGTTTGAAAGCGGAGAACGATGCTGCACACGTAACTACCGGCACACATTCAAACGTAGGTAAAGGAGGGTATTCGGAGGCGCAAAATGAAGGACTGTATGAAAAGCCTGATGGACCGAGAAGCGTAGAATCTGAGGATTTATACGAATCTTACGACGGAGCTCCCATCACAGAGGAGGATTTTAATTTTAGTAGCGACGAAGTAAAACCGCACCAAGATTCGCACAACGCACGCGATACAGCACGGCTCAGCACGGACAGTTTGTACATCAATGCCCCGAAAGAACTTCCTCCCATCTCTCTACGTGATCGTGCCACTTCTCTTATAACTGGCAAGAGTCCCGGACCCGCCTCGCCTCACAGCGGCTACTACAAAACCCCGAGAGAAGTGTGCGTCATGATGGGTGAGGTCCAGACCGAAGCGGACGACGCCGATCTGGAGGACCACGAGTACGTGAACATAAAATCGGTTAAAACGTTGAGGGACGACAAAACAACGGTGGCTGAGGATGACGTCCTCGCTTCAGCGGATGGTAATTACGAGTCGGCGAATGATGCTGGTCTGGGCGCTATTTACAACAACACGGCGCCAACAAAGAGATAACGCTTTGCATGAGACAGCGAACGTACGTAACGCGCGGAGATTCCGTTCGAAAGAATTACCCCTCTCTCTCTCTCTCTATCTCTCTCTCTCTATCACAGCGATGTGCCAGTTCGTCATTGCGGTAATGACAACCTGATAGACTGACAAGTTACAAGACACGCGGGCATGAAGTCAAGACGTCAGAATTGCACGCTTGAAGAAACTTGGCGACACATGTGTATGGTGAAAAGATTAGTGTATAACGGCGCCTTCTCAGAATTCAACTTCATTAACTCAAATCTTTCTCTTGTCTTAAAAAGAGTTATTAAGGAAGTGTTTAAATTAAAATAGTATAATGTTTATATCAGAAAGAATCATCCTGTTAAACAATCAATTTTCCAAATAAAAAAAATTGGAATTCATGAACGTGATTAAGCATGTTCTAGTGTTTAAGGTAAACGCATTTTCCATTCGGTGTTGCAATGTGTCAATGATTGAAATATGACTCGAGAGATGCTCGTGTTATGAGAGTATCGACATTTGTAATACTAAAAAAATAATACCAATTCTCAGTCTACACTTATTAGAAAAGAAACAAGAGGAAGTATAGCTGTCTTATACAAATACACGTTATTTCCCTTCGAATTACACCTGTCACATAAAAATAAACGTTATTTCACGTCGAATTACATCTGTCACATAAAAATACACGTTTTATTACATTGAATTACATCTGTCACATACAAATAAACATTCTTTTATATCAAATTTTAGCTGTCACATACAATAATACGTTCCTGCACGTAGAATTACAACTGTCAAATACAAATACAGATTATTTTCATATCGAATCGTAGCTGTCAAATTCAAATACACGTTCTTTGATATCAAATTACAAATTTAGCAGTTATATAACAAATGACGCGCTTGTATACTATCAGCACCCTCATACACTGACTATTATGTAACAGAATGTGCTGACTTTGAGCCTTGGTAAAAGTGGCCCTAAGTTTCCGCGCCAGCACTGTCTGCGTAGCGAAATAAGGTCTTTCAATGCGTCTTACTTAATCTAATGGGTTCGCATGGCTAGGTCGAATGTGGAGAAGCATCATTTTTCATTAATGTAAAAACAATTTCATTATTATTTATTTTTTAGTTCAGAATATGTTTCAATTATGAAGAACATTAAAACTAATTCGAGTTTAATTTGAGTGGGGGGGGGGGGAACTCTTCCTAAGGTTTGCCTTTCAGATCTTAAGATTTGAAATATTTTAAAAAAATGTATAAATTACTAAGCAAGGTTGTATCTATTTCACAATAAGCTTATATCAGGCCTGCACAACCTACGGCCCGCTGGCCGCATACAGTCCGCCAGCACGCACCTGGTAGTAATGCAGTAATGTTTTTTTAATATTTTTTATTATTATTGTCTCAATAGGTTTCGCCCCCGTTCTAATATCTTTCAGCCCGCACAATTCTTTTTATAAAGTTTTATGGCCCACACCTTTTTTTTTTCATTAAGTATTACGGCCCACCTTAAATTTTGAGTTGTGTGGACCTGGATTATATCGTGAATTATGTTTAAAGAAAAGATCTATGTTTATCGAGGATTCCTATATACAAAAAATATAATGTAATCTTACTAAATTTTTAAGCTAGATGCAAGTACCCTTCTGTATAAACATACTATTTTGTTAAAGCATGTCGTCACAAAGAAGACTACGCCTTAAAACAGATTCTAGACCACGCATATTTTTAAGTATGGGAATATAGGAATATCCCAATATTTGAAACGAAGTAAGGTAACCACCACCCCCCCCCCCCCCCCCCCCCCCCGTGTAAGAGGTCGATCGATCGTCGTCACAACTGCTGCCCGCGTATCTAGAACAGCCGGTTATTCAGCATGAACCACGTTGTGCACCGCTGTGTCTAAGGCTCACTGACGTGGCTAAAGTCTTGCACCAAACACGACAGGTACATACGTGCCCCCTTACGCTCCATTTCCAGGTAATCGAACTTCAGCTGGAAAATTTGAAATATAACGTTGTGTTCAGTGGCGTTTTGTTTCATTTTGAAATTTAAATATTTATATAAGGGAATGTGAGTGCATTCCAATAGCTTCTTGTCTTTAATGGGTTGCGATATTCGCAAATTACATGTCAAACAGGGAGGGTACATCTTGAAGAAACAAATGTTATCAAGTTATTGCTATCTTCAGGGCTCTATATGTTTATGGGTGTGTTGTTGTTTTATTAAAACTTTTTTGAATACCGGTGTATGTGTTTTGTGTGTGTGTGTGTGTGTGTGTGATTTTAATAAGGATAACTTTTCATATGATCTGAATTATTATAATTATTATTATTAGCATTATAAATTTTAATTGGATTTTTATTATATTGTTATCGTCGTATGTAATTGTAATCGGTAATACCATTGGTTTTTCTAATATTTCAAATGATTATTATTGCAATTATTATTATTCATACAAAAAATAATGAGACGTTACTTAATTATAGTTGTAATAATGTAAGTTAATAAGATCCCATGAAATGTCAAAACTGGGAGAAAAAAAAAGTCGAGTTTCCTTGGAAGAACTTGAAATCCGAGCCATGACTGCGATGCCAATAATATATTCTTTAGCATTTATACACTAATACTTGCTCTACAAACAACGATTGCTGACTTCTTCGTTCGTCTTTAGAGGGCGCAAAACCGTCATTTTCGGTTCAAAATATAATAAATATATATATGTATATGCGCGTGTGTGTGTGTGTACATTTTAAATGGAACCGGTTCCTAAATTCGGGCTAAGCACCTTGTGCAGATTTTTTTGGGCCCCCCCCCCCCCCCCCCCCCGTCTGTACTATAACCCGACTCGCGGATAGACACGGCAGCGTAGAGAAGGGTTGGAGATCACATGCTAGAAATAAATATAGTTTCCACTTCAACATATACATATATATATAATTTTTTTTGATTGAGTTCCTGAATGATACTTCTATTGGGAATCCTGTTATCCATTGACGTTATCTGTATATGTCAAGGGCATAGCTTTTTGTTAAACTGAAACTTTACAAGCCTTATCACTGATTTAAAAAAAAAAAAAAGTCTTCGATACAAAAGATAAATGATTATCAAGACTAGAACTGATCGCACGCTGAGATGTGTAAGCTACGTCATAATTGCATCTTTTTTTTTTTTTTTGGTTCTTAAATTTGTAATGTCAAATATCTGAGATCGCACCAGCTGTATATGTATGTGTATATGTGTGTATGTATTTATTTATATGCTGAAAAGGAATATATAAATGTTATATAAACATGTTTCCATCAATTGGATCGATAAAGAATCTTATCTCATCTTATTTCATGTTCTATAATAGATAAGTTCTAATTTTTTTTTGTAAATGCCCGAATGTTGAAATCATTATTAAGTGTGTGTGTGTGTTTGTCTGTCATCTGATTTGAAACCCAAATCGTGAGCACGGCATCATAACTTCAGGTCTGAACGTGTCCTACGCTAAGCCTAGTCAGTTTTTTTTTTTTGGTAACATTTACCCGCCCCCCACCCCACCCCCCCACCCCCCACTTTTTTTTTTTATTGAACCGCATTGATCAATAATTATTGTATTTAAAATTGTTGGTGCTACATGGCGAAGGAGACACAGAAACAGTAGTCGGTGCTTGAGAGGAAACGTAAACGCACATTAAGCGTGTTCATAGTAATCAGATATCAGCGCCCAAATAGATTTAGATAGTTTTGACATTAAACGCACTTGAATTCATCAAGGATAAATCTTAATCAAACGATAGTATTTAATGGTGTTTTTTTTTTTTTTTTTTTTCAATTTAATTAAAATGATAATTTAAAGGATAAAAAAATTGAACACCATGCTTCATATATTCGGAAGATATAAAAAAAAGTTTATTTAAAAGAGTGTTTTTTTTTTTTTTTTTTTTTTTCAAATTAATTAAAATGATAATTTAAAGGATAAAAAAACTGAACACCATGCTTCATATATTCGGAAGATATAACAAAAAGTTTATTTAAAAGAGTGGCTGCTCTTCTGCTGCAAAGATGTCACGTGTAAGCGTGCCCCGGGGGACCAACTATTGAACCACGTGAAAAACGTTGTGTTGTCTGAGGTGAGTTTAATCATGTATTTTTGATAAAATTTGGTTTATTTAAAATATACTTTTTAAAGTGCTCCGTTTATGAAGATGTCACATACTAATGATGAGTTTGCACGAGACAATGTTAAAATGAATATTTTTCAAGAAAGAATGAATTTACATTTTAGGATTGCTTAGATAAGATATATTTATATAAACATACAGAGGCGTAGCGAGGGGAAGGAAGGGGGGGGCGCCAGCTAGCTAGGGGCGCCAAAATGTGCTTTGATATTATTTTATTGATGAAAATAATGGGTTTGAGAGTTGAAAAAAAGAAAAAGGGGGCGCTTTAAAATGGATCTTGTCCTCGGGCGCCAAACATCCTCACTACGCCTCTGTATACATATATATATATACATATATATATATATATATATATATATNATAGACAATATATATATATATATATATATATATATATATATATATATATATATATATATATATATATATTTATATATATATATGTGTGTGTGTGTGTATATATATACAATGCACATTTCGTATATTTATTAAGCTAATTTAATAAAGTATGAATTTTTGTGAAGATTACAGACACACAATATGATTTTTATATAAGTGCGCCAAGTCGTTGTTAGAAAAGACATTAATAGGGCATTTAACGATAAAATCCAATTTTTACTTCATTGCGAGTTGAAGTTTTTCACACGGGCGTCCATTTTTCCCCGTCGTTGGTATATGCAAGTGTGTCTGATTGGTTAGTGGAAGTGTGTCTGATTGGTAAGTGCAAGTAAGTGTGGTTGGTAAGTACAAGTGTGTCTGGTTGGTAAGTGCACGTGTGTCTGGTTGGTAAGTGCAAGTGTTTCTTGTTGATAAGTGCAAGTGTGTCTGTTTGGTAAGTGCAAGTCTGTCTGGATGCTTAGTGCAAGTGTTTCTGGTTGGCAAGTGCACGTGTGTTTGGTTGGTAAGTGCAAGTGTGTCTGGTTGGTAAGTACAAGTGTGGCTGGTGGTGAGTGCAATTGTGCATGTTTGGTAAGTTCAATTGTGTCTGATTGGTAAGTTCAAGTGTGTCTGGTTGGTAAGTGCACGTGTGTCTGGTTGGTAAGTGCAAGTGTGTTTGGTTGTAAGTAGAAGTGTGTCTGGTGGTGAGTGCAATTGTGCGTGTTTGGTAAGTGCAATTGTGTCTGATTGGTAACTTCAAGAGTGTCTGGCTGAACAGTAAAAGTGCGTCTGGTTGCTAAGTGCAAGTGTGTCTGGTTGGTAAGTGCAAATCTGTCTGGTTGGTAAGTGCAAGTGTTTTTGGTTGGTAAGTGTACGTGTGTCTGGTTGATAAGTACACGTGTGTTTGGTTGGTAAGTGAAAGTGTGTCTGGTGGTGAGTGCAATTGCGCGTGTTTGGTAAGTGCCATTGTGTCTGATTGGTAAGTTCAAGTGTGTCTGGTTGAAAAGTAGAAGTGCGTCTGGTTGCTAAGTGCAAGTGTGTCTGGTTGGTAAGTGCAAGTGTGTCTGGTTTTCAAGTGCAAGTGTGTCTGGTTGGTAAGTGCAAGTGTGTCTGGTTAGTGAGTCCAAGTGTGTCTGGTTGGTGAGTTGAAGTGTGTCATAGTGAATGATTATTTCTTATCCACTTCAAAAAAAAACCACACCCACATCTCCGTTACTTAAGTGAGCAGATATTAAAAGTTTCACTCCCACTTTAAATGCTATCCTATAAACATTCATCGGACTAAATGGAACAAAGCATCTTTAATTAGACCAACAACAAAAATGAAATCAAATTTTTCTTAGAATTGATGAACTTCAAATGTATAATCACAATTGTGATTCACTTCTACTTAAATTAAGACTTCATTTAAATAGGTTTCCAATACCTGAAGGTAAATATGATTGTAGCAACCAAGGCTGGCATTGTGAACGTCTCGCGTTCGTGGAAAAGCCGTCATTCACAGTTGAGCCTAGTCCTTAGCAAGGGCTTCACT